AGAGCTGGGCCAGGAAGCAGGCACAGACCAGGATGAAGGTGTGGGCAGCTCAGGAGCCAGGGTGGATGGAATTAAGGCAGGAGGGGGCTTCCTGGGAATTGGGAGCCAGGAACTGAGAGGGGAAAGTCCGAGGTGAGGGTCTTGGGAGTTGGCTTGAATTCAGAAGCTGGAGACTTATAACCAGGTCAGCTAAGCCCGAAGCTTCATTGGGAGCCCAGGCAATGTGACAGCCCTGGACCCAAAGAGACTTCTGCTGGGGACCTTCATGAGACTCTGGAACCAGTCTACTTTGGCTTAAATTCTGGCTACCCCTTTACAGCTGAGTGACTTGTAACAAATTATGTAGTGTCTCCTCACCTCAGTTTCCCCATCTGTAAATTGGATGACTGTAATAGTATCTTCTTTATAAAGTTATTTAAATGAGTTAACATTTGGACAGTTCTTGGAAGTGGCACTTGGCCCATAGTGGCATTGGATTCAACAATTTTCTTGAAATGTTTAAAGAAATTAAAGAAACGAGTTTACTTTGCACATGGAGAATTCTGCCCCAAGGGTATGTACCTTCTGATGCTACTGTGGGGATATGTTTCCCACCCAGGGAAGGCTTGGCTTTGGTGTGCCACTTGTAACTCCTGCTGTCTCCATGTGCTTATTGGTGGGATAATTAGACAAGTATCCATTTGTATTTCTAAGTTCCCCTGAAAATATAGAATATAAATATGGTCTAGTTCTGCAATAAGTGTGTGTTATGGCACTAGTCAGTCCTTGGTTCAAATCCCCAATCTTCTATTCAGTCATCATGTGACACCTGGCAAGTTTTAACCTTTTTTTTTTTTTAAGTTTAGTTATTCATTTTAAGAGAGAGACAGAGAGAGGTGGGAGAGGGGCAGAGAGAGAGAGAGAGAGAGACAGAGAGAGGGAGAGAGAGAATCCCAAGCAGACTTTTCACTGTCAGCACAGAGCCCAATGTGGGGCTTGAACTCACAAACTGTGAGACCATGACCTGAGCTGAAATCAAGAGCGGGACCCTTAACCGACTGAGCTACCCGGTGGCTCATTTACACAATGAGCCAATTGTTTCCGCATTGACACAACAGAGGGACCAATATCTACCTCACAGAATGAATTCAAAGTTCAAGAAAAAGGGTGCAAAGCATGTGTCTCAATGCTTTTTTCCTCCTGGAAAGCCCCTTGTCAGCCAGGGCTGCAGTCTCATCTCATGGCTCTAGTGGGGTGGGGCAGGGGATTGGCTTCCAAGCCGATTCCCATGCTGTTGGCAAGATCCAGTTCCCTATGGGCTGGTGGACTGAGGGTTATCAGCTGTCTGTTGGACAGAAGTCACTCTTACTTCCTTGCCACATGGGTCTGTCCATAGGACAGCTCACAACATGGAAGCTGGCTGTCTTCAGAGTGAGCAAGCAGGAGAGCAACAGAGAGAGTGAGATGGAAGCCAGACTCTTTTTATAACTAATATGAGAAGTGATACCCATCACTGCTCTTTAGCAACAACCCTCAGAGGTGGGGGCTGGAGTTATACAAGGGTGTGAATACCAGGAGGTGGGGATCACTGGATGTCTTGGTGGCTGCCTCCCACACTCTGAAACTGCTTCTCCCCACCCCTCAACAGACATCCCTACACTTCCCCTCTCCAAAGGCACCATTAGCCACAACCTCTGAGTCATTTTTCACTTTACCCCTTCCCCACCCTCCACCAGAGCCCAATCCCACATGCACTGGAGACTTTCAGTCTCTAAGCAAGAGATTTAATGTAATGGAGGCTCTTAATATAGTAATTTCACTTTCTCACTTGAAGATTTCTCTTTTTTTCCCCCGGGATCCTTTTAAGGTTTCCATTTCTTTAAACAGAGACAGGGTGGCTTTCCCCCTCCACCCATCTCCAAGAAACTATAGTAGCTAAATTCTGTCTCAAACATGTGTTTTACTACAGGATACTAGAATTCTTCCTTTATCTTGAATTCAGAAAACTTCTAACTCCAGTACTGTTTAAACACTGCCTTTGGCATGGCTCAGATGGCAGGGAGTGTTGGCTTCTGTGGGGACGGATTAGCCCTGCCGTTCACTGCAAAGCTGAGACACATCTGCTTAGGGTTTGCTGATTTCTTCCACTAGGAATCATGTCGGGCTTCAGCAGCCGTCAGGCTGAAAAGGAAAGAGCAAAGACAGGCTGAGATGGTAAAGCTGATAGCAAAGTGGGAGCAGCCTTGAGAAGAGGCGAAGTGAAGGATGGAGGCAGATACAGGATGCCTGTAAGCAGTTAGTCTTGGGGCTCAGCCGGGAATCCCAGAGCTATCTGTGCCACAGCCCTAAAATCTAAGCCAGGGGCTAGAGTTCAAAAGAGGTCAGAAGCAGTAGTAAAAATCAGTAGCCGAAATAATCCTAGAGACTTAAAGTATTGCGAGGTAAGTACTAGAGTTAATGGGAGCTGGAGAGTCAGAGAGGTATAGCAGTTTGTTCAAGGTCACACAGCCTTGAAGTGCCATCATATCCCCCAACCCCCTTTCCCCAGGCTGGGCCCTGGCCCTGGAAGGGGGAACCAGGTGAGTCCAACCTCTTCACTGCCCATGTGTGAAAACAGACCCAGCGAGGAAAGAGACCTGCCTAAGGTCACGTAGCAAGGAAACGGCCCGGAGTTCTCTTCTGTATCCTACACTCTTTCTATTATGATGCCTAGATTTTCACTTTAACAGACTGAATCCAATCCAACAGCTTTTCTGGAGCTACCGCCCCTGCCCCTGGTGTTCTTATTTCGGTGCTCCCAGCCTTCATCACCATGGATGCCTCTCGTGTCATTTTCCCCTTCAGACTGCATGCTTTGGAAAGTTTTATCTACCATACACTCTTCCCTTGCAGATAATAATAAATTTGTTTTCACAGATTTATTCACCAAAACCATATGTGTCTGCCAATCAGAGCTTCTGATCCATAAGAGATCATCACAGTTGGTATAAATATTGAGTTGATATAAATTGAAGCTTGTCGCTTCATTTAGGTTGGAGAGGAGGTGACTGAGAAAAGCATGTGCAAATTGCATGAGGCGCTTTAGAATTTTTAAAATAGCACACAGAGCTCTGCGACGGCTACAAGTGTGGAGGTAGGACAGGGCCCTGAGACCCCAGCGGACAGTGGAGTTCCTGGATCCCTGTGCTAGAAGGTGCCTAAAGGCAAAAGGTCCTCCAGCCAGACACCGAGCCACCCATCCCTGGGTTCCAGGTGTCCGTGGGAGCACTGGGGCAGGACCAGATGGCTTCTCATTTAAGGGGAAATGGGCAGGGCTCTCCATCCACGGCCCCTCTTAACGTTGCTTAACTTCCACCATTAGTGCTCTATTCTTTTGATTCTTGAAGCAGATACACTTGGGAAGGCAGGCAAGTGGGCACAATTTAAACTGCGATGAGCTGTTTACTCCAAGTTACCACCCAAGCCCTTTGTAGGCCTGACAGTTCACCAGATGATCAAGGGTCCCAACAAAGCCTCTGAGGGCCTCTGGGAATGGTCCCCAGTTCTCCTGACCCGTCTCTGTGGGCATGACGTATCCAGGCCTAACAAAGGGCTAGACGACCAGGTCAGCTGCTGGCACCTCCACTCGGTATCCCATTCCTAGGCTGGACGTGCTGACATCACAGAGCAGCCTCAGCTGGAGGGTCAGGTCCTGATGTGAGATGGAGACACTGTGATTTCCAAACCACACCGGGTTATTCCCCATGTGCTAGCCACAGGGCACACAGCTTCCAGACCTTGTGGCAGCCTAGGGGTTTATCCAGCTTGCCTCCAAGATGCTGTTGGCAGGAGTGTAGGCCTGGGGCTGGGCTCAAATAAGGGGCAGAAAACTGATCTCCATGGAGATGGGAGAGCTAGAGGTGCCAGGGAGCCCAACGCTGTCTCCACCGCAGCCCTGTGGCTAAGGCCCTTTTCCCTCCCGATCTTCTGTAGACTTTCTATTGCTCTCCCCACACCATCCCGGGATCTTCATAGTGGATCTTGGGCATCATGAGGCGGTCAGACCCTCCAGGAAGGAGGACATAGCCCATGGAGCTAGGTGCGAATGAGATGAAATCGGCCATGACCCTGCCTCAAGAGACCCTCTGTGAGGGGCTGCACATTCTGAAGCTAGAAACCACATTATCTTTTTTTTTTTTTTTCTGACAAAAAAGGTAGGATATGGCAGATAAACTTTGCCTTCTTAGGTAGATATATCTATTATATAAATGTACATTTAAAAATACATGTTTTAGTTAATCTTTTTTTTTTTTTTTGAGAGAGAGAGAGACAGAATGTGAGCAGGGGAGGGTCAGAGAGAGAGAGGGAGACACAGAATCCAAAGCAGGCTCCAGGCCCTGAGTTGTCAGCACAGAGCCCAACACAGGGCTTGAACTCACAAAATGTGAGATCATGACCTGAGCTGAAGTCAAATGCTTGACCAACTGAGCCACCCAGGCACCCCTTTTAGTCTTTATTAAGGGAATCATAAGGGAACGTATGATCCTTTAAAGTAAGATTTAAATTAAAACACTTTTTAAAAATTTTATTTTTTATTAAGAAAAAGGTTTTTTTACATTTATTTATTGTTGAGAGACAGAGCACAAGTGGGGAAGGGGTGGAGAGAGAATGAGACACAGAATCTGAAGTAGGCTCCAGGCTGCAAGCTGTCAGCACAGACCCCAACACAAGGCTCAAACTCACAAACCATGAGAGCATGACCTGAGCCGAAGTCGGACGCCTAACTGACTGAGCCACCCAGGCGCCCCAAAAATTTATTTAAAAAAATATTTATTTTGAGAGAGAGAGAGAGAGAGTATGTGTGTGTGTGAGCAGGGGAGGGGCAGAGAGAGATAGGGAGAGAGCGAGAATCCCAAGCAGGCCTCATGCTGTCAGGAGCCCAGTGTTGGGCTCCATCTCATGAACTATATCCTGAGGTCATGGCTTGAGCTGAAATCAAGAGTCAGATGTTTGACGGACTGAGTCACCAATGTGCCCCTAAATTAAAATACTTTAAAGGTTTTTATTTAATAGTAGTGACTGGGAAACTTAATTGAGGATTCAGGTTAAGGTGATGGAACAATTTTGAGACAAGTCATTGAAAATCCATAACAAGACGGAATAATGAGTAAGAAACAAAATCCTTGCCTTTTAACAAACACCATAGAAAAGCACCAGTTTATTTCTAGATAGTCTGGTCTGAGATTCTTAATTGTTTTTTAAAAGGTAGCATATTATAACAGGAAAACATAAATAACTAAAAAATAATGGTAATAAATACAACAAACCCTTACAGGAAAGAGCCTTGATCCAAACTGAATTGTCAGGGAGCCTTCAGACTGAGCTTATTACATGCATTTTTCCAGCAGTTTTAAATGAGGTCAGGCTCCAGTGGGCCTGGAGACCTGTTTTGAGGGATATATCAACACCTATCAAGCCGTGAATCCTGTGCCTTTACACCTCTAATTGTTTGGGTTTCTTCCAGTCCCAAAGGCAGTAATTCAAATGTCTTTGACTTCTTAAGCCATCCTGATTTCCAGATTTCCACTGCATCTCTTTTTATAAAGCCTAGAACCTGAAATTGCCTTCAACAGATTTTTCTTCTCTTTAAACTCCTAAAAATACTGCTTCTGGGCAAGCAGTGAGACTGTGCCCTCCTTCAAACCAATCTGCAGGGCCAAGGTCAAGGTGGGTGATGCAGGAGGAATGGTCACCTTTGACATGCGGAGGACTACCATAAGAGCTGGCATTAGGGGACGGTGGGCAGGGATCAAAGGACCCCATAGAATGGAGCCCCAGGTCTGTAGCTCTAAAGCTTCTGACAATTCAAGCTGCCCTATTAAAGTTTGTGTAAAGAGGTCAGAAAGGGCCTTTCTTCTCTTGAAACCTCAAGATTGCTTTCTAAACTTCTGTGTCACCTGGGAGGTGTCCTCAAGTGACTCCCACAAATAGCCCAGACCCATTCTTTCCTCAGTAACATTTTCCTCACTTTGAGTTGATTGACAGCAGTCTTGTTGCCCTGGACACAGCTGATTGGACAAGAGGGAAGCCACACCCCCAGGTGTGCGCCATTAGCATGACTGTGCAATAGGAATCCTGTCTATTGGACAGTGATGAACCAACTCAATCAAACCTTCACTTATGGAAAGAGTATAAATGCAAGATACACACAAGGGAGTGGAGTTTGCTTGAACTCAAGTTACATGCTGGGTGACAATGAGCTGTAGTTCTGGCTGTCTACCAGAAGTGCCGGTCCCAGGTCCACGCAGGGTGAGGAAGGAGGACGTCCCATGATTCCAGGCTGTGTTAATTTCCTGTTGCTGCTGTAACTAATTAGCACAAAATTAGTGGCTTAAAACAACACAAATATGGGTTTTGGGGGTTAGAAGTCTAAAATCAAAATGTCAACAGGGGTATGTTCTTTCTGGAGGCTTCAGTAGAGAATTTAGATCCTTACCTTTTTTAGCTGAGGCCATTTGCACTCTTCAGCTTGTGGCCCTTCCTTGAATCACTCCAATCTCTTGTTTCTGTGTCACATCTCCTCCTACTGTGTTTTCTACCCTTCTGACTCCCTTTTATAAAGACTCTTGTGATGCCATTTGGCCCACCTGGATAACTCAGCGCGATCTTCCCATCTCAAGATTCTTAACTTCATCACATCTGCAAAGTCCCTTTTGCCATAGAAGGTAACATTCACAGGATTAGGACGTGGAGATCTTTGGGGGGCCATTGTTCAGCTACCATACCTGCTTTGTATATTCTTTCAGTAAGTCTGAATTTCTTCTAATCATCTACACAACTCTATACATTTGGGCTTCAATATCCACCCTGCTCACAGTCCCTGGCAGGGATAACATCAAGTATTATGTGATTCCACCTTCCTTGGCAATAAATAGTTGGTGAATAGCTGATCTATTTTCTGGTTGGTGACCTATTGGGTAATGACCCATTGACTTACCATTGCCAGCCAGTGACTCATTGACTTCTAGAGAATCTGGATGAGATTGCACAGGAACAGTGGCCAATTGAGAGAGGGCTGTTTAAACTAAAAGTCACCTAGAATCAGGATTGATGGCTGATTGATGCACATGGCAGTGGAGGGCAAGCACAGTGTGTGTAAGCAGAGGAAGATGGTTGATCAATAGAAGAATTGAATGGAAACAGAATTAGAGAGATCATATGACCTGACAGAGACTGAGATGTCCTCAGGCCTGGGCCCTGTAGGGGTCTGGCTGTGCTTTCTACCCTGTCTCTTTAGTCTAACGTCCCTCTGTGTCACTGCAATAAACTGCATCTCTGTTCTTAAGCCACAGTGGCACTTGATTCTTTGCAACGAAAACAGCTCCAATAAGAAGACTCTTTTTCGCTTGACTTCTTAAAAAGGTGACTCACGCAACCCTTTAAACCAAAGACCCTGTGTTCAAGAGGGGTTGTCGAGAATTCCAGAAGAGCAATGAGGAGGTGGGTTATTGCCCCTGTGGCCTCCTTATATCCAAGGTACTTTAGCTCTATGCCCTGGTGGTCCTCACTTCCCCACAGCTAGAACTAGAGAAGCTCTGAGGGAAGACCGCGGTTCTCCCACCCTGAACAGGATGAGGGGTTACTTGACAATTTTTTCAGGGTTGGGTTGCTGAGGAAAACAAAACAAAACAAAACAAAACTATTCTCACATTCCTACCCTTACCATATTACCTCAGTCCACAGGTCTGGATTTGATTTCTGCCTCAGTTTCCCTGCACTGAACTCCATTTCCTCACCCTGCATTCTCCCCATCCTACTCTCTCCCTGGGTTGGCTGTCCCTTGCTTTACCCCCAGAAAGTGGTCGAGGCCAGGCTGTGACTGAGCCATCACTCAGAACCATATTACCGAAGCACCTTCTGCTGTCTGGACTCACACCCGTCGGGTACTGGCACCTGCTTCTGCCACGCCCAAGCCGGCCTGTCCTCTGGACATCACGTGTGCCTTCCAACCTCCCAGAACCCCGTTGCCTCTGTCCCTGCCTCCCCAGGATATAAGGTACTTCAGAAAGCACCTGGAAATCCCAGAACCGTAGACTAATGAGATGATTTTTGTTCAGCGGCATGTGTTCTGTGCAACAAAGTATTAATAGGGTCTCTGCTGCCTCCATGGCTTTAGTTGTCAGGGAAAAATTGAAGACCAAAACTGCTGAGGAGCTGACTGGTGATTTAATTTTCTCTAATTTTTCTACCTCTAGGGAAACTGTCAACTTAATTAGAAGCCAGACCTCTCAACTCTGCTGCAAAGTGTGAGTGGTTGCCCTGGGTTTGCAGGCCTACTGGCTCAGCTGGGAGGTCTCAGACACTGGGTCCTGTGGGACAAAGCCACCGGGGGGAGGGGGTCCTGAGACAGTTGCCCCTGCTGCCCGGCACGTTGCAGGGAAATACTGCTTTGACAGTCCTGCTAGGATCGAATCCGCTCTCAGGTCACCCTGTCAGAAGCTGTTCCTCCTGGGTCTGTTTCCCTCCCGCCAGCAGCTGTTTCTACTGTGGAGCTGGCATTGTTTCTCCTTAATTCTTGGGGTACCAGACAAGACCTGGGTGTACACAGAGAACCCCAAGGTGCAATACATTGGTTTCCTAAGCCCTGGACATAGCGCTAAAAGGCTGGCAGTGGGCTCTGCAGCCCGAGACAGGGTTCAGTCTGTAGCATTTCCCAAGCTTATTTGGTCTTGCAACACTCCGGTTTTAGAGCACTGATTAACATCTCCCTCAAATAGTGTTCAGTGGAACACGTGTTAAGAAAATGTTATTCTATTATAAGATTTATCACACTGTATTGCAATGATTTATTTGCATGTCTCCCTTTTCCACAAGGCTACGATGTCCTAAAGGGCAAGAAACGTATCTTATTCATCTTCTTAGCTCCGGCACCTAGTAAAGTGCTCCTTCATGGAGTTGGTCCCCTACCCAGCTCATGTCAAGGTCACCAAAAATCTTCACTGCATTCAAATCCCTGGTAACATTTGGCATCCCCTCCTTCTCGAAACACCCTGGTCTCTTAGCTCCTGTGACACCGTACCCTCCTGGTTTTCTTCCACAAGGCCAGCAATGCCTTTGCAGTCCCCCTACAGAATCCTTCTCCCTACCTGTTAAAAAATATTGCAGTGCCCAGGGCTCCATCCCTGAACAGTTCCTTTGCTCTGGCTACACTCTTTTCCTCGGTGACCCTGAGCAGATCCACAGCATGAAGCACTTTCTATAAGCCAGTGGTTATCATGCATATATCTCTCCATGTGATCTTTCTCTTGAGCTCTAGACTCCCATGTGACATCTGGTCTTAGATGTCAGTGTTTGACAAATCTCAAACAAAACTCTTGATTTTACCCAGCAAACCTGTTTATCTTCTGGTCCTCCCTACAGTAGTAAGTAGCATCACCAGCCACCAACTGCTCACATCTCTGAAATCTGAAAACCATCCCACTTCTTTACCTTCCTTTTCAGTCCCTCAGGACAATCCTACTAGTACTACCACTATAATCGTTCGGAATATTGTTATTATTATTATTGGATATTCACTCCCCTCCCCCTCTCTCCATAGAATATACTTCCCATACACCTCATTGATATTGGACTCCGGTAGGTGACTTGCTTTGGCCATTGGGATGTTAGCAACCGTGTCCAGAGCTGAGACCCTAACTGTATTTGAAAAAACATAGTTTGGTACTTACATCCTGTTGGTTATCAATATGTTACCTCTCAGTCCAAGTTCACCGTTCGTTGCCCGATCTATAGAAGTGGATAAGGGTCTTTTACATCTATTGCCTTTGCCAGCTGACATGATGTTAAGTTTTGTCACTAGAGGGAGCTGGAGGTGTCTGACTCCCTCTGCATACCTGCCGACCAGCCTGCAATGCCCTGCTCCCCAGAGGGGGTTCTGGCTTGCCTGACAACTTATGGAGCAGCTCTGGCTTAGCAGCCCAACAAACTTGTCTTCCATGACATTTCTCCTCAACTATCCCCATAGCCTCTGAACTCGTCTCTTTTCTTCCATTCTTGCTACCCTGCAACACATCGTGATTCCAGCTGATTAATGATGTTATCATACATGACGTTTTAATATATATCAGGTTCTGTTTAGACTCATTTATCCTATTCTAGCACATGCTCTATCACTTATTTGATTTAGAGCCCTTGCCACAATATTTTAATTATGATATCTTTATTAAATATCCTCCCACCTGGTAAGGCAGGCCCTCCTCACTGCTCTTCAACATTTTTTTTGTTCAACTACTCTTCCTGTTCACTCTTCCAGATAAATTTTAGAAGAATCATTTTGTCATGTTCCCCCAAACCCTCCAATATTACAGATTCCTTTGGGAAAATGAACATCTTTATACTATTGAGTTTTTCTATCTAAGAGATTGACACATCTATATTTAGTTATCTTTTTTTCAATAAAGCTTCCTGAGGTTCATTCTGTTGGTCCTGCACTTTCTTTGTGAAGATTATTTGTGGGCATTTATTGCTTTTATTGCTATTACAAACAGGATTCTTTACTTTTCTATTATAGCCTTTAAATGATTACTGTTGTTATATAGAAAAGTTGTTGATTTTTGCATGTTTATTCTGCAATGAATTATTTTATTGAATTCTCCTTGCTAATTCCATGTGTTTTCAATAGATTCTCTTGAGTTCTTTGGGGTATGAAATCATACTGAGTGTAAATAATGTTTTTCCTCCTCCTTTCCAATAATTTACCTCATACTGATGTTTGGTATCTTACTACGCCAACCAGAACTTCTAGTTGTTACATGATACATGATATCATGATACAATGTTACATGATAATGGTATTCTGGAAAATGTTTGCATTCATATGTAAAACATGAACATTGACCCTTTTCTCACACATTCCTATAAAAGCTAACTCAAGACGAATCTTAGGCTCAAATATAGAGTTTTAGCTCTTAAGAAGAAAGCACAGGAAAAATAATATTTGTGTCTTTGGGCTAGGCAATGATTTTTTAGGACACACAAAAAAGCATGAATCATAAAAGAAAAAGTGGCAAATTAGACTTCATCAAAATCAAAACTTTCGCTTTTTGCAAGACATTCTTCAGAAAATGAAAAGACAAGCCACCAAGGGGGAGAAAATATTGCGAAACACAAATCTGATAGAGAATTTGTATCCAGAGTACATAAAAAACCCTCACAGCCCAATAATAATAAGATAAACAGCTGTAGAAAAAAATAACTAGATGAAGAGTTTGAACAGATCCTTCACCAAACAAAGATATTTTGGTGGCAAATAGACACATGAAAAGATGCTCAGCCTTATCTGTTATCAGAGAAATAAAAATTAAAACCA